ATCATCCTAATTTTTCTTTAAAAGTGGGATGTGGTTTAGTTTTGTTAAATCTGCCAATTTAGGAGAGACTTTGATACCCAAGTACGTAATATTCCCTGACTGCAGTTGTGTAGTAAGTGAATTGTTGAAATAGCAATTAATTGGTAGAACTGTGGATTTTATCCAGTTTATAGAGTAATCTGAAACTCTTGAAAAAGAGTTTATCAATCCAATAACCTGAGAGAGGGAGGTTTGTGAATGCTGGAGGAAGAGCAACACATCATCCAACGAATTATTAAAAACTGGAAGGATAGTGGGGACCCATCATCTTCGAGGAAGAAATGTGGCCGGAAAAAAATCCTGAATGATCGTGATCGGCGATCACTTAAACATTTAGTGAAATCCAATTGAATAAAAACAACAGTAGCACTCAGGGCTATGTTTAATAGTGAAAGTAAAAACATTTCCACACACACAATGCAAAGGGAATTCAAGGAATTGGGACTGAACAGCTGGGTAGCCTTAAGAAAACCACTAATCAGTGAGGCTTATAATAAAAAAAAATTCTTGGGGCGGCTGTGGCTGAGTGGTTAGAGCAGTCATCCTCCAATGCAAGAGTTGGGGGTTCGAATCCACCAGCAGTCGCATACCGGTGTTCTGGGCAAGACACTGAATCTCTCATAGCCTCCGATATGTGTCCCATCCGTGTATAAATGTGATAAAGCTCTGATTAGTCTCTTGAGAATGATTTGTTCAATTAGTTTGTAGAGATCTAGTTTAGAGCTGTATGAATGGGTAAATGAGGCACAGATTGTTGTAAAGAGCTTTGAGTATCTTGATAAGATAGAAAAGCTCTATATAAGTACAGTCCATTTATCATTCTAGGTGTGAGCACCAAACCTCCCAGACTAAAAATCTGCTCCACAGGAGCACTTGATGGGGTTGGAGTGTTATACCTCAATAAATTTTTATTTTATGTTTGAAAACTGATGCAGAATTTGAAGGTCATAGGTTGACCTCAGGTAGTCCATGACTTCCTGTTCTGCAGAGTAGGTCTCCTCTGGATGTGCCTTAAAAGTGAAAAAGTCCATCTCACATTGGCTAGCAGTTGTAGTGGAGCTCTGTGGTGCAGGAGCAGTTGTAGTGGAGCTCTGTGGTGCAGGTTCAGGAGCAGTTGTGCAGCACTCTGCTATCAGAAGCTCTTTTACTCTCTCCCCCCCTGCATCTCTTAGCTATCAGAGTTTGAATTTAGGACAACTGACCGCTGCAAGAAGGACATCTTTGTTGTCCAGCACACCAGCAAAACGAGTCTGGATAGCCTAAAAAATATAATTGATATCCTGATGCATGCTCAATAATCCAGGTAGAAAAATCTAAAAAAGTTAAATCTGGTCCTCTGGACATTCAAAAAAACAAAACAAAGCAAATCAACAAAAAAATGTAGAAACGTTTCGTCTCTCATCCGAGAGACTTCCTCAGTCTGAGGTGCTGTTTTCAGCTCAGTCTCTTAAATAGCACCTTCTCAGAGTGGATCAACCAGTTTTGCTGCTGACAACCAAAACCAGCTGCTCACATGCTCAAGAAGGACCATCAGCCTAACAATGGATCATTAGCACCTGATGGCTGTTTACTACTCACAGAGGGCTGAGTGATACTAGCAATCACAGCATTGTAAGAGGGGGACAGTTGAACCCGGAGGCCTCCACCCCTGTTTAATGATTGTCGATTTCTTTTCACAAAGATGGCCTCCTTTACTCCTCTCTCAAACCATCGTTCCTCTCTGTCCAGGATGTGAACATCTTCATCCTTGAAAGAGTGACCGTAAAGTCCTGGCCTGATGATGTTGATCTTCTGTGCTGGTCCATCCTTTTGGCCAGTGGCTGTTTTGTTTCCCCGATGTAAGACTGATCACAGCCCTCCTGACACTGAACAGCATACACAACATTGCTCTGTTTGTGCCGGGGGACTGGATCTTTGGGATGAACCAGTCTTTGCCTGTGACTTGGTGGTGTCCCTGAAAAGGACGTCAAGGCTCTCTTTTCTACCTCCTCCATGTACAGGTTGGCAACAATAGGAGAAACTGGAGACCCCATAGCACACCCATGTTTCTGCCTATAAAATTGCTCCCCATATGTGAAGTAGGTTGACTGCAGGCACAGTTTCAAGAGTTGACACAGTTGTTCTGTGGAAAGTGTGGTCCTGCTGCTCAGAGTGGTGTCTGATTTTAATCTTAAACTGACCACCTCTACTGCATCATCAACAGGAATGCACGTAAAGAGTGATGTGACATCAAAAGAGACCATTGTTTCATCAGTCTCCATGATGACATCCCTCACCTTATCCACAAAGTCCATTGTTTAGTTTGTAAACTAAATATTTAACTTGTAAATTAAATATTTAGTTGAGAACTATGACATTTATAAATGTATGAATAACATGGTGAAAATATGACTTAAAAAATAACCCCTATTTTTTTCTTATTTAAAGCTAAATAGACCATGTGATGGACTGGAGACCTGTCCAGGGTGTACCCCGCCCTTCGCACAGTGATTGCTGGACAAGGTCACCGGCGACCCCCGTGACCCAAAATGGAAGAAACGGGTAAAAGAAAATGGATGGATAAAAATTAAATAAACCAAAATATTGATGTTAATTTTTGACTGTGCAACTTTACAAACGGCACCCCATAGTATACCTATACTTTTAGATTTTTAAATTACCTCCTTAATTGATGCTTCACAAAACAAAACAAAAAAGATTAAAAAAATTACGAATAGGGTCTTTCACTTACCCAAACTTACCCAAGAGGTACATCTTCCCCCGTTGTGCATTGCTGTTGAATTCTGCCTCTGACCTTGTCTAAGAAAATTGTTTAAGTTTGGATGTAAAGAGCAAAAATGTTGCACAATCAAACCTTTAGTACAACAAAGCAGTTCCATGTGCGTGCAGGCTGCAGAATCACACGCTGCATAGCTCAGAGAGGCTGACTTCCATTGGCTTGACTGAAATCGGGAAGCCAGTGCACAAGTAGAGTTTTAGAACAAATAAAATTAAGATTAAAAACAAAACAACTCAATGTCCAACCAAAAGAGAGACACAAAGGAAAGAAAATGACAACAAAGGGACTTTTTGTTGCTGTTGAAGTCCTGTTGATGTCTGAATATTTGCAAACAGGGAGCCGTGTGGCTTCACTTTGATTGACCAGTTTTTGAAACTCAATTCATTTCCATGTGCTGGACTTGCGAAACAATATTCAGAGTTTGAAAACTCTACGGTATCAATCGGGGGTCTACTTTTTTCACATAAAAACAGTTCCATTAAATGCAACAATAAAATTTTGACATTCTTTTAGCAGTTTCCACATTTTACCAGTTTACATATGATAAATGACTGATAAAAGAATTTAGTCTGTCAGTTTATCCATCCATCCATTATCTTTTACCCACTTCTTCCATTTTGGGTCATGGGGGTCGCCGGTGCCCATGTCCAGCAATCACTGTGCGAGGGGCGGGGTACACCCTGGACGGGTCTCTAGCCCATCACAGGGACACATAGAGACAACCGAGACACTTTCTCACTCACACCTAGGGACAACTTAAGCCCCCAGTATACTGCCGCGTACATCCATACGCAGAGGTACGCATGTACCCCCCAGCGTACCCTCCGTGCAAAGCTCAAATTTTTACGACCGCATACGCTTACGCGGTGTTGCACAATAAACTGCCCAGCAACGGACTGTTTTGTATGTGACACCAATGAATTAAATTCCCCTTCTTCATCCCTGATCTGGCCTTTTCTTTTGTTTTTTTGCCAAGAGGCAAGAGATCTCTTCCTCCTCCATTGATGCCATGACTGAAATGGTGAGAAATGAAGGAATTTGTCACGAGAGAATTAAACTCAGGTCCAGCATGGCTGCAGGAGGATCTGGAGATTTCCTGGTGGGCTGGTCTGATGTGTGGGCTGTAGAGCCAGCGCTCCCTGTTTTTTTTTATTTTTTAGATCTTTTTAATAACAACCTATAAACACTGAACACCACTGTGGCTGAGGCTGCCAGCGCTCACTTTTTTTTTTTTTTTTTTCCCGACCTGTCAATCAATCCAGTAGGCGTGTCAGCAAATGACCAATCGGCGATCTCAGTTTGTCCCGAAGGTAAACGTCCCTTGTCTGTGAAGCTGCTCTGCAGACACAATGTGTATGCTGGAGTTTAATGACTGAACCCTCTGCGTACAGTACACGCGTACGTATGCGTGAACGGACGTACGCAGCAGTATACTGGAGGCTTTAGAGTTACCAATCAGCCTAACATGTATGTTTTTGGTCTGTGGGAGGAAACCGGAGTACCCGGAGAAAACCCACACATGCACGGAGAGAACATGCAAACTCCACCCAGAAAGGCCGCCTGACCGGGATTTGAACCAGGGACCTGCTCACTGAGAGGCAGCAGCTCCACCAGTTGCACCACCGTGCTGCCTCTGTCAGTTTATTTAAAATACAATCTTTATGTCAATGTCATTTTTTTGTAGAGCACATAAAAAGAACAAAAGTTAAAGTGTTTTGAAATTCAGTGAAATGAAAATGTATCCTGCTTATCCAACATTTTTCAGTCAGGTCATCTGGACAGTTTCTTTTTTTGTGCTGAAATGTTTCACCTTCGATCCAGAAGGCTTCATCAGTCAAGGAAACACACAACAAAACTGATTCTTCCCCCAAACAGCTTACTCCAAAGTGGAACAAACCAGTTATGTTGGTGCTAAGATGATCTCTTTGGTACGCCCCCTCCTCCATTGCCGGTCCTCTTCCTTGTTGACAGTCGTGTCAAGCTGGTTGAAAACAACAAAGTCCATGCTCAATAATCCAGGTATACAATCCAAAAATGTTGGATTGTATACCTGGATTATTGAGCATGGACTTTGTTGTTATCCTGCTTATTGTTGACATTTTTCTGTATCTGTAAATGATTTGACTCAGGTCTGATTTCTGGTTTATCTCTGTGATTTCAGGTTACTGTAAAGATGGCAGTCACCTAAACGAGGAGTTGTAGTGTTTCCAGGGCTCCTCCACAGGTCTAGTATGTTTGGTAAACAGTGAATGTTTTGAAGAAATAAAAAGTTATGATTTCAGAAACCATATGGTGTGCATTCATTTAGCTCTCTCCACCTCTCTTGGAGTTGGGGGTCCTCTCTGTTGTTCAGTAGTGTGAAGATGAAGGGTGATGGTGTCCAGGGCTTAATTTGAGCCAGAACCTGACGTAACAGGATCCAGGAACTCTTATTTTGACTGGATGTGTTCCAGTAACTGTTTGCTTGGATCATATGACTCTCAGGCTTACTAATAATAAGGTTATGAACAAATTTGACTGCTTTGAAAAAATAAAACCTATATTGGATATGCAATCTGAAAATAATTACATAAACCCAAATTTTTAACATAGCAGCCACTTATGAGCTTCCTAATATCACATAAGAGCTGCCCCTTCAAGACAAGTAAGCATTTCCACTTCTACACTTAAAAAAACCTTCGTCCCTAAAAGTTCAGTCATTGGCAATTTAATTAAAAACACAAAAATATAATTAAACAGCACAACTAAATTACAAATCAGTTTTACAGTTTAAGTGGGTCATTAATAAAATTTTGATTATTTGTTAAAAATATGAGAGAAATGTTTAATGGGTGTTGCTATGCTATGTTACATAGCTATATCACATATCAAAATAACGGCTTCTCCTACTCCGCTCCTGTATCTTGGATCACCTTGCAAAACGATCTGAAGCTCTCGACCTGACCTCTCTAAGTGACTTCAAACATCTGCTAAGTTCATGGCAAAAATCAACGCTGACATGTTCCTGTTTTTAGTGTTTTACACCGCTTTACAATGTAGCTGTTTTTGTGTCTTTTTTATATCATTCCCTTTCTCATTTTCTTTCTTTTATGATTGTCTACTGTTGTCATCATTCTTTGTTAAAAACAGCTCTCTCCAGGGCTTCATTTGTAAAGAACGGGCAGGCGTCTGTGGGTCCTCCCAACAATTTTGAATAACAGAGATGCCATTTCCTGCATTTTGGTGTATTTTAACAGATTGTGAAACATCAACATTTACCTACATTTGTAAACACAATAAAATTACTATTTTGAAGAGTAACAGCAGGTTATGTGTGAATGAGCAGCTCTGATTCTGTCAGGTGTCCTAACCCCCCCCCTCCACTTCATGGTTCTGAGCTGAACTCTTCGCTGCTCCTGCTCCAGTGTCATGGCACAGTTTGAAGCACCTGAAGGATTCAATTCATGTTGTCCAACTAAGGACATCCATCCATCTTTTATTAAAGTAAATTAGTAAATTAGATGATGCTGGAGATCATCATTTGACGAGAGCTCCCACCTTCTACCTGTGAAGAACAAGAGCAGCTCAGTGATTCCCTCAAGGCTCAGTGAAGGTGCTGAGAGCTGCAGAGAGGCTGATTCATGGAGCTTCAACATAGCAACCTCCAAACATGTCCACCCTCACACACATCGTCCATGAAGACACTGGACCAGAGCACAAGATAATAAGACACTGATAACAACAACAACACATTCACTAATGATTCAGACAAATGTAAGTTTTTTTAATTGTTTGTTTTACGATTGAAAAACAGTTCTATTTCGTATAGACTTTGCCCTTTAAGGTTGTCGCTGGTGGGTTTATCCCGTCATGCAAAGCATCGCACTGAAAAAATTTAGTCCACGCCCACCTGTTGTGTGGGCCCCACCCGGTCCGTATGAATTACGTAAAGAGCGGGTAATCGGCTCCCCATTTTTTCTTCAGCAAGCTAATAGCACTGTCAGAAGAACAAAGAAGGAAAGTTGTCCAGCTTGACCGGCACAACCTTGCTAAGGCTGTCTGGGTCCCCGCCACGCCAACCTCCTGCCGTCCCGGTGAGTTCTTCCTCCCCGAGAAGAAGCAGACAAGCAGCCTTGTTTCAAGGTAAGCACCGAGGAACAGTTTTCCGTGGCGGGTTGCTACCTGCTGGACGACGACATCGACCCTTTTTTCTTTTTAACGCAGACTCTCGGAGCGAATCGGATGGTTCCCCCGGGACAGGCGACGTCAGCAGCAGCCCCCGCTGCTCACTCCCTCCTGGAGAGCGTAGAGTTGGAACGAGGGGGGCTGAGCGGATGCTCACCCCCCCCCCCAGAACTTTTTCGCATCGGCGACCACACCGCTCCCTTGTCTTTTTGACATTTTGATCTCTGTTGTTATTTTGACAAATGAGCGCCGTTGTTTTGAATCGTGATGTATAATGTGAATAACACATCAAACATATCTCTCTTTATATTTTAATTTATTTTTTACAGTAAACTTTTTTTATTTATTATGTCTGAAATGTAGGAGTTCAGACACATCAGCAGTTGTGTGTGCTCTGTAGAGCTGTCTGGAGACGCTGTGCGTAACGTGCACCGTCTGCAGGACATTTATTTATTCTGTTGAATAAATGATCGTTTCTGTTTGGGGGGTCTGAGAGGAGGAGAGGGGGTGTTTTTCAGTGCGCAGCACCGCTGAGGAGGGATAATATTTGGAGAGGAGGAGAAGAGAAGGACTCCGCGCAGCACCTCACTGCGTAAATGTGACCATCTGTCCCTCCGTCCTCAAACCCCCATCTCCTCCAGAGGCTCCTCTCTTGCTCCTCGGAAGGAGTATGTGAGCGAGCTGGTGTGCTGCACGTTCTGTGGCTGGAACATCCACTCCACAGACTGGGTCCGCCGGGCTATGGGCATTGTCTCCTCTTGTTGTATTTTTTAATAAATAATCAAAATAAAAATGTGCGATGACTTTGGACTTTTAGGGGCGGAGATTTGAGTTGCCAGATCCGAGCAAAGAGTTGCCAGAACACAGCCTGTCAAAATAAGAGAGTTCCCAGATCTTGTTCTGGCAGGATCCGACTCAAATTAACCCCCTGGGTCTCTCTTTTAAATGATTCCTCGAGGCTCAATGAGACTAACCTGTATAAATAAAATTTGAATGAAAAAATATCTACATATAAAACACACAAAACAAAACACAACTAGCTTTAAGTATTAACCGTTAATCATTAAGCATGCAATGTAATTATGACAGGATTTACCTGCAGTTAGCTTCGTACAGATGAACATGTGGTAGCTACTTCCTGTTTATAACTGTTGTATTCAGCTGCCGGCCTTTATCATCTTTTACATTTTTCCCAGACTTAGTTTAGTTTTTGAAATGGAAAAAAATGTATTCCACCCTCCAAACGCTTAGGGTAACACGTCTCTGAATTACATGTTCCCCACTGACAATGTTTAACCTTATCTGATGATTTTTTTATGAAATCTATAACCGCAAAGTGTCCGTAAAGCAAAACCCTGCCAATATTTTTGGGAGGACATCTGGGCTGCAGCTCCTGCAGGTAAGGGTTGTTTCACTTCAGAACAAATTGAGGTTGCTGATTGGTCAGTTGCTGACGGGCCTACCAGATTGATTTACAGGTGACGTTGAGGGTCCAACTTGTGCAAAACAAAAATATTATACATTTTATTGTTCCGTTTAACAATGTCATCATTTATTCTATATTTATTCCAAATTAAATATTTTAGTCAATCTAAGGTTTGTGAACTGAGTTTCCTTACAAAATTGTATTGATTGTATTATTGTAGTTCCTCGGACTGACAAAGTCTTTTGAATAAAAGACTAAATGTTTCAACAATTTTTTTAAATTTTATATCTTTTGAATCTGTCCAGAGGACCTGACTTAACTTTGTTAGAGTTTTCTACCTGGATTATTGAGCATGCATCAGGGTATAGATTGTTTCTTTATTTTTCAGGGGTGCTTAGCTAAAATTTGGGGGTATTTGAGCACCCGCAAAAAGAGGCTAAATTTGCTACATTTATGTAGTAATGTCAGGACAGCTTTCCTGTTAGCTTCACTACTAATTAATTATTCTTAAAGCTAGTTCAAGCACAAAGAATATTAATTGTTAATTACAACGGATTCTTTCTTTTTTGAGATAAATTTCGGCCATGTGACCAAGATAACTGTGAGTGGATTGTTTAATCAGTGACATGAAACGCCATTTTATCTTTGACCCATCAGAATAAATGCGGTCATTTATTTAACAGAATCAAAATTTAACATCAAAACATGTACACATTGATTTGCTGATCTGTTTCTGATTAATAAAAACTTGGCACGCTTTACTAACAAGACAACAGAACATTACTGATTGAGGCTGATTCACCTCTGAAGGCATCTAGATTACTGGCAAATAGAAAAGTTAAAGAGGAGAAATAGAAGTGAAAATTTAAAAGGAGGTTTAGATGGAAGCTATGTGTGAAACCAGAACTTTGCACCTTTCCTCCGACACCCCGCTCAGCTTTCCGGTACACTTCAGGATGTGTAGGGACTTTGTTACCTTAGATGGGGATCCCTCCACTCCGGAACAGAAGTCCATTAGTACGATCCCTTTACAGCGTCTCCGGTTAAAGTAGCTGGGAATCTTTAGAATAAATGCATATACTCATGAGGTACTCAGTTCCACCGAATAAGCTTCCTTAGGAGTGAAGCATTTACTGCTCCTTTTGAGTGCACAGCGATGCGAGCCGTGACTCCGCTCAATGGAGGGACCACTTGGCACACGGTCCCATCCATCCGCTCCAAGTTCTGAAGACTTAGCCCTAAGACTTAAGACTCCGACTGAGTTCCAGCACTGAACTCCAGGACTGCACTTCAGGACTGAACTCTCCAGCATCGAACTTCCATGACCGCACTGAATAGTTCCACGAAGTGTTCCTTTTAAAGGGGTATACACTTCCTGTTACGTGGTACTTCCTGATTGGTTGAAGCAACCAGCAGGTGGGTGGTTCTAGTGATGTCAAGAGGGTCACTAGGAGTCAAGAGACAGCAGGAATGTTTACGAACGGTTAGTACAGACAGGAATGTTATGACGAAGTGAGACAAACGCAGGTGCCAGCTGAAGTTATTTACTGTCTGCTAGTTTTGAAAACAAGACACTTCGTTCTAATAACTCGTCTCTGTTTGTCTCTGACTTTTGACCGACATCACTACTCCTC